AAGTGTGCAATGATGGATGAATAGATACAGAAAATGTAATACACACAATCATATTCATCCTTCAAAACATACTTACGTGTATGTGTCATGGATTATTCGGCCTTACAGAAGGTCTTGCCATTTGCCATAACATAGACATACCCAGAGGACACCACAGGAAGTGAAATAAACCAGACAACAGAAAGAAAGCTAGTGCATGATACTACTGCTATGTGTGGACATTTAGTTTCTAAAAGCATAAAGCTGAGCTAGGGATTTAGCTCACTGGTTCCACTGCCTGCTTTGCAACCAGAAGGTCCTGAGTTCAATCCCTGGTACCAAAAAAAAATAGTGACATGATTTCTATCACCTGATTCATTCCATATCCCATTTTCCTCCAAACTGTCCTTCTTGGTAACTTTCCAGATCAGCATTTAATCCAACCAGTGGTAGCTTGTCCAGCAATTTCATTATTTTTATCTAAATATTGTATTTTTGTAATACCTATTTAGTTAAAAGATGTTGCATTTTGTGATTTTTATAGTTTCTCCACACTCTATACTTCCTGTTCATTATAAATAAGACATAAAGTACTCATTAAACCTAAAGGTTCCTGGTTCAAAAGAAAAGTGTCCTCAAGGCAGGACAGGGCATTTTGTCCCTTCTGAGCCCTCTGGGGCAGCAGGGGAGCTATCAGTGAGCCTGAGAGCAGAGGTGGCATCTCTGCCATCTGAGGCACCTTTTTCTTTGGGCACTGTGGGGACCGGGTGACCAGAGCCTGTCTCCCACACAGGTAGAAGCGAGGACAACACAGCAGGGTGTTCAGGCCGGAGCCTCTGTGCATGACCTCCCTCCTTCTCCCATGCCCAGGTCAAGAGGAGCTGAAGAACAGTAGCTGCCCCTGTATGCTGTGTCCTTCACCAAGGTCAGTCACCTGAGTGGCCCTGTCACAGCCCCTGGTGACCATCCGTGGAGGACCATGCCCAACACTCAGAGATCTTCTGTACTCTGCCTCCTCAGCTAAATGAAAGCTCTAACCCTAACCCTAAGGCTGACCCTGACCTGGACACCGCTTGTTCAGTGTGGTACCTGGGAAACCATCCTACATTGGCAGAGGGTCCAAGGTAGGCAGAGGCATGGGAAGAAAGCCTCACACAGCCTTGCAGCATGGAAGGAGGGGTCGAATCAGAGCAGAGTGCCCACCTATGCCTCCTCACTGAGCAGAAGTCCTGACTTTCACCAGCAAGCCCTGCCAGACTGGAGCATTGGTGGGTGGCTTAGGGTCCCAGGCTGGGTGCTGTCCTGGGACCACAGTCACAGGCACATGGCCGTAGCTGATGGAATGTCCTCACAGAGGCGGGAGGTACAACACTGGCTGGGCTTGTACCCCAGCACCACAACACACAAAGGACACTGCAGGGAGGGGTCCACCATGTCTGCCTGCAGGTGGTGGGCTCTGGAGGGAGCCGGAGCCATGAGGTCACCTGCCAGTGAGTTTGTGGTCCTGAGAAGGAAGCAGGGTGGGGCAGGGCATGAGAAGTAGAAGTGCTGGTCTTGAGCAAACCAAGACTGGCAGAGGTCTCAGTTTCCCCTCTAGCTATTGTATCAGAGATTGGGCTCAGGGGCTTGTGTTTGCACCTGGATGGTCACTGTGCACTCAGGTCCAGAAGGGATAGGGAAAAAGGCAACAGGGAGACTGTGGAAGTAAGATGACCCGAGATCTCCAGGGCCCTGGGTCCTCAAACCCCTGGAATATGCACCCCACTGAGAGCTGTCTGCCTCTGCCTCCTGACCCTTTATGTTAAAGTCTGGCACTGCTCTCCACAAGCACTTTCCTTTAGGCACTGCTGGGACCCAGGGCCTTCACACTGGGCCACATCCCCATCCCTTTTTCTGTGTGTATTTGGAGACAAGTTCTCATTAGATTATTAAGTTGCCTTGGCTGGGCTCAAATTCATGGTCCTCCTGCCTCAGCCTCCCTGAGAGCTGGAGCACAAGCATCCCCAGCACCCAGCTTCCTGACCCTTCTTGAGGCTGCTGTGCCTGGGACTTGGTGCCCTGAGGGCATCGCTGTTGACTCCAACTCCGTAAAGGCTGGCAACCAGCCTCATCATGCCCCTGCCCTGGTGACAATGCACAGCACAGCCTAGCCCCAGCCACTGTGGGCTCCCTGGAGGAAGGACAGGGGCCCCAAGACCTGGAAGTCCCTGCAGACAGACAGGATAGGTCAGCAGGCAGCAGGGAGGGAGAGAAGGAACACTCGCCACTCAGACTCCTCTGGCTCCATGTGCTGGCTGAGAAGCCAAGCCATCCTGCAGATGAGCACTAAGATCTGGCCTTAGCTCTGTCTTTTCTTATCATTGTTTAGTATGATCATGTTCACAGAGTAGGTTGGTGTGCGTGCCTGACACACTTCCACTCTTCCCATCCCCTGTCCCTCCAACTCTTCTCCCCTCCCTGTTTCCTATCTTTCATCTTTCATTTCGCTCTTTCATTTGTGTATATGTCGGGTTTCTTTAACCCTGAGATACTGCAGCTCCCACATCTGGTTTAGGCTCCCATGGCAGCCCAAGGTGCATCCACTTCCCACAGGAGTTAACACTAAGGAGGGAGACCAAGAGAAAGGCCTTTGGGGGCTCCTGTTCCGCTGCTTTCCCTCACCAGGACTGAGCATTCACCCATGCCCAGCCGCGGTCCGAGTGTGGGCACCTGGGAGCCACAGCCCAGGTGGGTAGCAGGGCGGGCCTCTTGGTGCTGCCCCACTTCCTGACCCTGGCATCCTCTCCACATCCCAGGAGTTCCTGCTCAAGGTGGGGAACCTAAGAGGCAGGGTCATGCAGATGATTGGGCACCTGTTGAATGCAGACTTGGGCTACTATGAGGCCTTCAAGGAAATGCTGCAAAGCTTCATCTTCTTCTGTGAGCCCAGGTGGGGAGTGGGGTGGGAGTTGAAAGGGGCAGAGGTCATGGCTCCCGGGGAGGACTGGACAAACAGCTTCCTGGAGGAAGGAGGGTCCTATACAACCGCCCCTGCAGCCTGTAGCTGAAGGCTGCGGACTCCCACAGAGAAGGTTTTCAAGACATCAGAGAGAAAGGAAGGGATTCACTGGGCACAAACTGAAAGCTACACACAGCATCAGAGTGTGGCTCCTGGGGGCACTGTGGTCTGGAGCTACATGGGTTTCAGGGGCTGTGGTGATGCCCAGACAGGGCCATGGGGTGTGCATCCTGCTCCCCATCTGGCCACCCATGGGGCTGTCACAGTGCGGACTCCCTGTGTTTCACACTGAGATCTGAGGCCCAGCAACACCACTGTTTCCTCCAGGGGGCAGGGCAGGATGCTGGGCTCAGGGGAAGAGCACAGGCCCAGAGCCCACTTTACAGGCTCACCATGCCTTGCAAATTCCCTTAGGAATTTTTTCCCAAGTGAGTTTCCTGGAAGGAAAGGGCTTGAGTAACTTGTGTCCTGAAGCTGAAGATTTTCTTAGAAGTGAGTTTTATCCAGTTTCCAGTTGACTATTCAGCTATAAAAAATGAGAAACTAGAGACATTTATAGCTAAATAGATGCATATTGAGGACATACTCTTAAGTGAAATAAATAGGACACATGTGTAAATACCGAATAGTTTCTCTAGTGTGAGAAACTGAAAATGTAAATAAGGATTAAAATGAATAACTGATAATGGGAAATAGGAAGAAGATGTCCAAAGGGTAGGGCAAGTGGGAGGGGTAGGAGAAAGGAAAGAAGGGAAAGGAAAAATTATGAGAAAAGGAAAAAAATGGAAAGAAAGTCTTTGTAAATAGGCAGGGGTGGAGGGGTGAAAGGAAGACAGCAAATGGGAAAAAAAGAACCAAGATCCATCATGTACAGGTACAAGATCCCAATGATAAATGTAAATGTATTCTATTCCTAAACTGTACCAATAAAAGAATATAAGAAAAACACTGCAGTTTTAAAATTCCAATTTCCACCCATTGTGGTGGCACACACTTTTCATCCCAAGCACTTGGGAGGCTGAGGCAGGAGGATCACCATGAGTTCAAGGCCAGTCTGAGCTATATCCATGTCTCAAAAACCCTACCAAAATCCCAATTTCCTTGTCTGTTTTCTGCCTATCTTCATTTCTTCCATTCCACCTCAAAGAAGGAAGAAATAAACCAGGTGAACATCTGTAAAGGAATGGGAGACAGGGAGGCATCGGGCAGTGCTTTCTGAACTCTGGGGATGGGGTTTGGCACCCCCAGAGCCAGGACCTGAGAACTCGCCCTGCAGTGCATCCCAGTGGCACCTGTCAGAACCCCACTTTGAGATGAGGAGCCAACGAGTCTGCCCTCCTGTGATGCAGACTGTCACCTCTACTGGGCCAGGGCTCCACACAGGGGCTCTTGCCAGCTTTGGTTCAGGTAAATGTGCCAGGGGTGCTGACCCAGAACCTGCCCCACCTTGGTCACTGGCCCCTGGAGGATCTGTGCAGATGAACCCATTGACTCTGAGAGGCAACATGCATCAGACCTTTTCAGGCCCAGGATTCCTAGCTGGGGAGCCCCTAGGGGGATACTGAGGCACGCAGCCCCCTCCACACCCCCTACAACTTCTCAGCCTTGGGGTTCAGGGTGAATCCACTGAAATTCAAGCCAAGCACTGACATGGGGAAGAGGGAGCACAGGAAGTCTTAAGAGAACGAGGGGTCTCGGGATGTCCACACTGCATTTGGGGCCCTGGCTGTGTCCTGAAGGGCAGCAGGTGAGTCCTGGGTCTCTGCCAGCCTTGGTGGCCCAGGCTTCTCCCACATCCTCTCCATCTGTTTCCCTCTGCCTCCCTCCAGCCTCAGGTTCCATGAGATTATCGGGGACTTTGACCAGCTGCCCCAGGCCCTGCACCAGGCCCTCCAGCCGGACACAGTACAGCTGCACTCAACAGCAGAGGAGGTGGAGATGGCTGGAAATCATGTCCACGGTCACCTACAGGACGCCTGACCCCCTGTGGCCCAGGGCATGCCTGACCACTGACTTCGTGGTCATGGCCACTCCTGCCAAGGCCACCCTCCCCCTCTGCTTCTGGCTGCCCCTGTCTGGCAGCAGGGAGGATGCGCTGCACTTGGTCCAGTACAAGAGCACCACCAAGGCGATCCTGGCCTGCACTCAGCACTTTTCGGAGCATGATGGCATCCACAGCAGCAGGTCCATCACCGACTGGCCCTCCCACTTCATCTACTACCTCAAGCACATATTCCCTAATGGCACCAGGGGCATCCTGGCCTCCTACACCCTGGATGATGACACCCACTTCTCAGCCATGGACCACGTGTGGGTGGTGGACATAGTGCTGGACGCCCTGGCCGGCATCCACGACTGCTCCAAGGAGGAGCTCTGGGCCCTGTGCCCTTACTCTTTTGTCAAAAACTGGGGCCATGACCCCCACTCCATGGGTGGCTTCACCTTCTTCACCCCCTTTCAATTAGTGGAGTATGCCAAGGACCTCAGCCAGCCAGAAGGGTGGGTGTACTTCGACGGGGAGCACATGGCCCTGCCCCAAGGCTGGATTGACATGGCCATCAAGTCCAGTCTCAGGGCAGCCAAAAGCATCCATTCGGCTGCGGGTCTGGTTGAGGGACAGGAACCCGGGATGTGAGAGGGCCCACTCCAAAAAGGAGCTGTAGGCCACTAGCAAGTCCAGCCAGCATGGCTCACCAGGACTCACAGAATTCACTCACACTTCATGCTCACCTCTGCTAGATCAAGGTCCTACCTACATTACCCACCCGAGCCCCAATACTGTCTCCACTGTGAGAGCCCCTGATACAGCCATTAAAACAGCAAAGCATGCATTGAGTTTAGACTATCAACAAGTGTTCAGTCTACATCCTGGGTGGCATCTGTTATTAGCTTTCCCATCACAACACCCACACCCATGACTTAAAACTATGCTAGCTCCAAAGCAATACCTTCCTGCAGGAGGGCATTGTGGACACCACTGCTGACTCCTGGAAGCTGGGAAGTAGCAAGGGAGCTGTACAGACAAGAAGGGCTGAGGAGCCAGAGGTGGACCCCAAGACCACCCATACACAGTTGCTCCACCAAGCTCCTGGAGTCACAAGCCAATCAGGCTGACACCACCCCAACCAACAAAGGACCTCACTCAGCCCAGGGCCAAAGGCCAGACCCTCGCTTTCCTGGCCCCTTCCAGGCCTCTGCTCTTCTCTCTCTCCTTTAATCTGAGGCTAGCCCCATCTCCCCTCCCTACATCCCACCACTGTGAATCAAAGAAGCTGGGGACTCAGTTACCTCCCCAGTCCACACCATCACAACCCCACTGTTCACCTTCTAATATCATTCTATTCAGATGAGGAAACCTGGCTCTCAGAGAGATGAATGCTGGTCACAAATGGTGCTCATGGCCCCGGGCATTTAGCCCAGTGGTTCCACTGCCTGCCTCAATGCACAAGTTCCCAAGTTTGACCCCCAGTACCAAAAAAACAAAACTCAAAAAACAAACACAGCCCAAAGTGACTCAGACTTGAACCTGACTTCAAGTATAATTCCAAACCTTCACTGTTCTTCTAGGCTCTGCCACTCTCTCATTCTTTTTGTGGTCCTGGGCAATTAGCAATTCTGTTTGGAAATATCCAGGAATGAATGTGTTATGTGTTTGAACAAATAAAATTTCTCAGGGTTCCCAGGGCTGTAACTTTCCTCACTTTCCAGGCCTTTCCATCTTGGTAGCCCTTGGAAGTGAAGAGGCAGACAGACAGAAGAACAGACAGCAGCAGAGAGATTCACGAGGGCTGAGGTACAGATGGATGGGGTCTGGGAAGCCTAGCACTGGCAGTGCCCTGCCCTGAATTTTGTCTCTAAGAGACACCCTGGAGTGGGGTCAGTCACCCTTGGGGCACAGAAAGAGGCCAGCTGGGGATTGATTTCTCATGGTCCATTACTAAGAAATCTCTCTTTTCATGGTCACTAACCACAATCCTGTCTTCTATGTCTGATATTCTATTTTCACATTCACTCAATATGCTGTGAATACTTTCAGTGGAGTAATTAATCTCCTGGATATCTATTTGAATCTGTTTCATGGATTCCATTTCTTTCCTATGCTGGGCAATCATGGCTTCCATCATGGTCCTGAGCTCATCTATTTTATATCTGTTTCTGTTCTCGAGTCTCTAATCATGTCTTTCATTCTGCTTACCATCTCTGAAGTTATCTGGGAAATTGTTTCTCTTGAATTTCTCAAGAATCTCTTTCATCTGTATTGTTACTTCATCTACTATTAGTTCAGGGTGTCCAGGTGGTTGATTATCAGATTTTTCCACCTCATTTCCCCCAGAATTTGCCTTTGGTGATCTGGATGTCTGGCTTTGTTCCTTGATTAAGTGTCTTCTCATTTCTAATTTTGTTGGTAGTGCTGTTTTTTGGTTTAATTTCTGGGCTGTTACTTCAATATTGCTTATTGTGAGTATCTTGATTACTTGTTTTTAGAGCACTTATGTAGTGATTGCTGCTCAGATACATCTTCCAGGTATAGTTGGTCTTTTTAGGCTTTGAGTCTCTAATGACTCTTAGACAATTTCATTTTCAGTATAACAGAAAGGACAACTGATTAGATCAATCATGACATCTTAGCCCAATTGCTACAATCAGCAAAAGCAATAGCATCAAACAGCCTAGAAAATGACAATTTGTGGTAGCAATTAATCTGTCACCTTTATGTGAACTAGATCAAATTGATGTTCAACCCAAATATGTTTGTAGTAAATAAACACTTCAGTATAGCAAATTTATCCTTTGAGATAAGGATTTAGAAAAGGTTAGGCAGGGATGGATAAAGAGATAGGAGAGGAAAAGGTTAGAAGTGAGGCTAGAGGACACAGGAAGATCATGCAAATTTGGGGAGACTTTTGAAGGCAAGAGGAAGAGAAAGAGCAAAGGAACATTGATGAGAATAGAACAAAGTAACCACCATAGGGATGCTAGAAACTTTATTCATCTTCCTATAAGATTAATGACAGTTGAGAGAAAGGAAGAGAGAGAAAAATCCAAAATAGGACAGGAACAAAGAGGGAGAGAAATGCAGAAAAAGAATGGAGAGGAAAAAATTAGAAGAAAAAAGAGAAAAAAATATATATATATATATGAAAAAAGGGCCTCCTTCAGGGTATGTCTCTGTTGTCCTGGTAGACAACGTGGGCAACAGTGAGCAGATCTAAGTCTATTAGTCTTAGCAAATCAGCTGTAGTTCACTTAGATTCAGGCTGATTTCTGGCTGCAAGGCCCAAGTTAACCTCCCTGACCTCTTAAAAGATTGAACTCTGCAAGATTCTACTGCAGGATCTATCTGTCCTTCCCCTGAAGTGCGCCCAGGTTTCTATGGGAGGTGTTGATCCCACTGACTTATCAGCCATGGTGGTCCAGTGTACATTTATTGAAGAGGTTTTCTTCACTTTCCCAGTAGGCTCCAATTTTCATTGAGGACGAGCCTCAGAGAGGCCCTCTCTGTTGTTCCCTTCTGCTGTAACTTCTGGAGCTCATCACCCTTTATAGCCCCTTAGTGCCTCGGCAGTGTGGATTTTTATACCTCACAGCCTTTGTGGCCAGCTCAGGGGTTGTGGTTCTGGCATCAGAGGCAGGACACATTCTTTACCCCATATCTGAAGAAGAAAACTAGGTTGCTTCCATATTTTAGCTATGTTAAAAATGCATCCATGAAGAGAAAGCTGATATTCCTTCAGCAGACTAATTCTCGTCCTTAGATACAAGGGAGGAGATTCCTCCATTATATGGTAACTCTATAGTTACTCTTTTGAGGGACCTCCACGCTGTTTCCCTTGATGGTGGTGCTAATATGCAAACCTGTGAATGCGGCCCAAGGGCGATTTTACTCTACACCTCACCCACACTGTCATCTTTCATCTTTTTGACAGTAGCCATCTTAACAGATGTCAGGTGATGTCTCCTTGCAGGTTTAGTTTACATTTCCTGATGACTGGTAGTGATGAGAATGTTTCCCATGTATCTAAGTGCCAATTTACATCTTCTTCTGAGAACTGTCTATGTAGGTGCTCTGTCCTCTTGGACTGGATTATTTGTGTTCTCCATATTGAATTCTTTCAATTCCTTAAATATTTCCACATTAGTCACATATCAGTATATGGACTGCAAATACTTCCTCCCAGTCTGCAAGTTGTTTCTTCACTCTCTACAGTTTTTTCTTTCTCAGGAAAAAAATAGTTTAATGAACTCTTGTGTGAATGTTTGTTTGTTTGCTTTATTATCTGAGATTAGGAGTCACATCCACGAAGTTTTCATCCAGCTTAATGAGAGGATGCCCATTCTCTCCAATGCCCCTATGTTCTCTTCTCACAGTTACACAGAACAAGGTTTTAAGTGATGAAGTTTCTGAGGTGATTTTTGTATGTGGCATCAGATAAGCATCCTACTTCATTCTTCTACTTGTGAATAGAAAGGTGTTCAATACCATTCTCTACTCTGTATTTATGGAACATTGTGAGAGTTCAGTTGATCTTGGGTGAGGGCTTACTTCTGGGCTCTCTCTCTCTTGAATTATGATGGGCCAATGTAAGGCAGAAGATTACAGCATGGCAAAACAGCTGGGCATCTGGGCATGATCTGTTTTATGGCTTCTGTCTCGATGTCCACCCAAAGCCTCAAACAGTTATAGGTGGGACTTTCAGAGGTGGCTGGATCTAGGTGGCTGGGAATAAGTGTGTGATGCTGGAATCAAGAGTGAGTGAATACTAAATTAGTTTGGCACAGTTGATTGGTTCAAGATATTTCTGGGAGTGGAATATGGGAAGGCTCTCTTGGGTAGGAGTGATCCCCACCCTAAGGATATATAGCCTGGATAGAATATAAGGGACAGGAAGAAGGCTGCTGTGGTTGCTTGTCACTTGCTGTTTACCACTAGCTGCCTTCTAGTTTGATGACCTCTGACACCCAGGAACTGTTTCTCTTCTGTGATGCCCCTCTGCCATGCTACTGTGCTTTGGAGCCAGTGAACTATGAACTGAAAATATAATCTGTCAGCTATAATAAACATTTCCTCCTTTCATTTTGGGTGTCTGGTATTCTGTCTCAACAGTGAGCAAAGCAACTAAGACAACCTGTCAGTCCAGGAGACCTGTCACAGTGGCCAGGAACCATGTGCAGAAGAGCTTCCAAGCCCTGCATAGGATACTGGATCTGACACCAGAAGAGCAGTATTGGCCTCAGGACCATTCTCTTCTTTCTCTTGCTGTGGCCCACCCTGTGTGCAGGACATAGTCTCATTTTCCACACTTGTTCACACTTGTTCTCCCTTCCTGTCTCTTTTCTTTTACCTTTAAGAAATGAAAATCTCAGTGTTCCTCAGTCATCCAATCCAAGTGACTCAACAGGTCAACAACAACTTGCAAGGCAACCCCAGAATTCAATAGTGAATATAACTATTTTATGCTACTCACAGGCTGTTTGTGCTACTGTCACTTGATACTAGACATTGAAGTCTGGTATTACAATGGTTTGAGGCTTGTTATTTTTCTTCAGGATTGCTTTGGATACATGCAAGTTTTTATGTTTACATAAAAAATTAAAAATGTTTTTCATGAGAAATAATATTGAAATTTTGAAAAG